TTATTTCCAATCACATTATCCTCATCTCCTTTTGTGTCTCTTTCTCATGGCTCCTTCACTATTGTCTACATCTGTTTCATCAATCACCTGTCTCTTATGTTCTCCATACCAACCTATTTCCACCACACTCTCTAGTTCTGGTACAATCCTATAGATCATCAACTCTTTGTCAGTGATCTCAGTGTAAGATGGTATTTTTTTCATAGTCTCTTATTCCCAACTTAGCTCTGATCTTCTCTTCAGTAATTCTATTCATGTCAATTTCCACCACTGGCCCAAGAGTTGCAGCCACCTCACACATCCCAAAAAAATGCCTAAAACATTCAGATATTTTCCCAAACTAGACCCAAACAGTGTGAAGTTTACCAACAGCATGTGAGTCAAAGCTCCATCCCTTCACATTAATCACAGCACCTAATCCCAGCAGTGTAAAATCTTTGCATTTGTTTAGTTCCACCAGTCTTCCTTTGTTTGGGGATCTTACCAAAAAGGCATTTTCTCCATGTTTTTTGCATCTCCATTGCCAGTTCCAGTTGACGATATAGTGCAGTCTATCTATCAACTGTGTTTCATTGATCTCTCCAGACACTACAGTCATTATGGCCATTGGATTTGGGTTTTCATCCTTCAGAGCTTCCTTAGTACTTTGCACTAGCAACACACCCAGTCCCCTGGCTGCATACCCCACAAACTTAGGAACTGGCTTAAACCGCTTCAACCAATTGCAGTCATCAGTGATATGGTTCTTTTTTCCACAAATCACACAGTGTCCAAGGGGGGGAGTCTTTTGTCAAGTGATTCGAATCCTTGCACTTATTCACAGCACCTTGTTCACTCTTCCAATTCCTGGCCTCCCCCCATCCTGTGCATTTCTATTGTTATACCGTTCTCTGTCATTGGCACTAAATCCTCTCTGTCCTTGTGTTCCTCCTCCACTATTCACCATCACGGTCTCTCTCCCATGTTTCGCCTGATTCCTGGGCTTTGAATCTATCTTGTTTGCTTCACTTACTCTAGGATCAGCCGCCCCATGAGTCTGTCAAGTGCTAGACCCAGGACTAAAACTGGCCTCATTACTAGGGAGGAGGTTAGCTTATGAGATTTGCGCTAACAAAGCATTGAGCGGTACTTGTTGCTGTTGTAGCAGATCTTGTCCTCCTTTTCCTTGAGATCCAACAGAATCTCCCTGGCCAGCTCTAGTCTCTTCCACTTTTCCTTTGTTCTTGTTGTTTCAATCACTCCATCATCAACTTCTCCTCTGGCAGTTGAATCTTGTCTCATTTCTTGTCTTTCTTGAGTCCTCTAGTTCTCTCTCCCTCTAGCAAGATCTCTCCTCTCCTCCCACGGCATCTAGTTTTTGTGGTAATTCTCCCCTTCCTCTTTTCTTCTGTACTGCCACCCATCTCTCTCTCCCCTCTAATGAAATGACCACCTCCTCCACCAAATCTTCCTCCAAATCGATGCATGTCTTCTTCTGCCCCAATGGCGCACTAGTAAACCCTAACTCTGGCTCCCCTCCCTCTCTGCCTTTTATACTAAATCACACCACTTTTTATATGTCTCTAAGTTATCTGGAAATAAGAAGGTTGTGTGAGAATAAGGAAGTTGTCCCGAGAATCATGTGCAGAACGAGGTACTCCACAAATTATTGTCGGAGGTAACTTGCACGTGTCAATGAAATGCAATATTGCTGGTTGGCTATAGCCTATAACTGAAAAAATTGTGGGCACATGCTAATAAAAGAGAATATGTTGATTTTGCTCTAATTAATAAAAATTGTGGGCACATGAGCGCAAAAATAGTTGAAGAGAATAAACCCTGATAATGAAGGGACATTCATGCCTGGTTATGAGCTAATTATGACAATCAAACAAAATTTATGCACTATAATTAATAATCCATCCAGTTACATCGTCGTAGGAGAGAGTGGTCGAAGCAACCGTGCCTCGAAGATTGCCGTGTAGCAACAAAATGAGGATGCAACCACAACTCCGACTAGGTCAGAAACAATGTATATGACTATTTTAGAGTCATTCCTAGGTCTATCATTTTTGTAGCAAACTTACTTACAAATTATATTTGCAACACTGACAATAGCTCGGTTGATGGAGGAGGTAACTATAGGCGAGGCGCTAGCCAACGACACCCCGACGCGGCCGAGCACAACTACCGACTATCTCCTCCCATTATTGACGGCCGCCGCCCACATCGTTCCACTGACACAAGGTTGAACTACCACCGCCGACGATGACAGGAAGGAGGATAAGCGACAATATAAATCGGGCGTTGTGTTCACATAGAGGACATGGAAGAGTGTGTGTTCGGATGTGGGGAATGCTGAGATATTATTTTTCTCCCGTTGCAACGCACGGGCATATTTCCTAGTTAATGCATATAAAACATCCAAAACAGATAATATAATAGCATGGAACAATAAAAAATTATAGATGTGTTGGAGACGTATCAGTTCTTAACTGAGGGAAATACTTATCTCTACTCTCCTCTTCGAGGAAATCTCAACACAGATCACAAGTAGCGGGAAGAATTTCTGGCATCGTTGCCAAGGAGACATCAGCAAAACCTATCAAGTACCCTCGCACAAACTATTATCTACTTTCTCTTATTTTATTTCCTTTGCGTCTTGTTTTCATCTCCCTTCTTCTAAAACAATTTTACGAAAAAACAAAAATATTTTTGGTTGCTCGTTTGTTTGCTTTGCCGCTATGTGTCAGGAAAACACCAAGTTGTGTGACTTTTTCAATACTAATAATATTGATTTTATTAGTTCTTCAATTGCTCCTCCCACCACTAGTGCGGAGTCATGTGATATTAATGTCATTTTGCTAAATCTTGTTATGAAAAAACATTTTTTCGGTAGTCCTAATGAAGATGTTGCATCCCATCTTAATACTTTGTTTGAACTATGTGAGATGCAAAAGAAATAGGTGTGAATAATGATATTATTAAGTTGAAATTATTTCCGTTCTCACTACGAGATCGTGCTAAAACTTGGTTTTCATCCTTGCCTCAAAAAAATATTGATTCTTGGGATAGGTGTAAGGATACTTTTATTACCAAGTATTTTTCTCCCGCTAAGACTATTTCTCTTAGAAATCAAATCATGAATACCAAGCAACTTGAGAATGGACATGTTGCACAATCTTAGGAGAGAATGAAATTAATAATAAGAAATCGTCCCACTCGTGGTTTAAGCTTATGGATAATTATAAAAAAATTATGTGGAACTAAACTTTGTTTATAGAAATCTTCTAGACTCTGCTGCAGGTGGTACTTTTATGAAAATTACATTGGGAAAAGCTACAAAACTCCTTGATAATATTATGGCAAATTATTTTCAATGGCACACCGAAAGAGTTCCAATAGGTAAGAAGGTAAATTCTGTCAAAGAAATTAATACTTTGAGTGATAAAATTGATGCTCTCATGAAAATGGTTGCTACTAGATCATACTGATGTGCCATTATCTACTTTGATTGAGCAAAATAATGATGCTATTGATGTGAATTTTGTCTCTAGAAATAATTTTCCATAACCTATTTACCTAGTGCCGAGTGCCATGAGTAGATTTCTGGACTTCACGAAGCACTTCCCCGCCATCCCTCAGGAGTTAAAACTCAAGACCGACACCGGCTGCACCTGGAGGGTGATGGTCTGGCTGATGAACGGCGGGATCACCCTTGATCAGGGTTGGGCCCCCTTCGCCAATGTTCACCACATCAAGATCAGCTACATGGTCATTTCTCAAGCAGCTGACTCCCAACACCCTAAAGGTGATCGCCTTCAACGACAAAGGCGTGGAGGTGGTGACGAAGTGCTAGACGCACGACGCTGTCTTCGTCCTAAATGTCTAGATAGCTATCTTGCGTGGATTGCTTGGTGAGTTGACTAACTTAATTGGTTGTTGAATGTTGATAGTCAACTTAAAGTGTCTGTTTAAGGTTGATAGTATGTTAAACTTGTTGGTATGCTATCTATGTCTTGCTTGTCAGTGTGCTTGTAACTTGACCACCTCCACGAGGAGGTTACCAGCCGACGTGCGTTGCATGTAACGAAACAACCTAAATTATGTTTTTACCTAAACAAGCTCACAACTGAACAACATGACTTTGTTTATTTGTAACCGGGCTAGAGGATATGCAGGCAATCAAACAACATGCAGATCATTGTTTTTAAGACTATATTGACTCAACTAGGCTCAATTGGAACAAATATGCAATGCAGGCAAGCAAACACGGGCAAGTGCACATTGCCATGATTTTTTGCCACTGTGGAACACTGCGTCCGGTGCATTTTTGTCGTGATTTATATTGTGGTGGTTTTTTGTTAATCAGCACACTTTTGCGGTGGCTTTACGCATTTCACTCCCTAGACGCGGCACGGTTGAGTGATTAGCGAGGTGGGTTGTGAACACCGTGGCGATCTCCCTAAACTAATCGCAAAATGCGCAAATCATTCGGCCTTTTGCCTCTCGGCGAAACTGCTCCCGGCTTGCTCCGACGTAGCGCGCTGTGCCCATGTGTAAAAAGGACCATGTGTAAAACGCCAAGGTCACTCGCGCTGGCCGGCACCGGGCGCGCGCGAGCGGTGCGCCGCCACCGCACCCGTCAGCTAGCGACAACGGCTCCAGCGGTCGGCCAACGCGCCCCACGCGCTCCGCTCCACCACCTACTGTACCGCACCAAAAGCCACCGCTTCCCTTCTCCTCTGCTCGGCGCACGCCTCCGTTCGCGTACCGACGGACGGGCGGGCGGACAGCGCAGCGCAGCTTCCGGCCACGCCACGCGTGGGCGTGGCTTCCTACCGTCCACGGATCCGCCGTCGATCTGGAGGGCCGACAAACGCCGCCCCGCTTTCCGCTGCCCACTGGATTAAGTACCACTCCCCTCACCCCGAGACAGTCAGCTTCACAGCCTTCACTACTCACTCACTCAAGCTCCCACTCCCACTCCCATCCCCATCACCAACCCCTCCCACATAGTCATGGCTCCCCACCCACCGGTCCTCCTGCTACTGCTCCTCGCGCCGCTCCTCCTCTGCTCGCTGCTCCCCGATGCGGCGCGGGCGGCCGGCGCCGAGGACACCGGGGTGACCATCGTGCGCAAGGACGGCACGACCTGCACGCTCTGCGCCTCCTGCGGGAACCCCTGCAACCCCAACCCGGGATACAACTACCCGTCGCCACCTCCTCCGGCTCCGGTGACCCCCGCGGCGCCGGTGTACCCGCCTCCCACTTCCTACCCAGCTCCCTCCGGTGGAGGAGGCGGTGGCGGTGGCTACTTCTACCCTCCGCCCACCGGCGGGTACGGAGGAGGAGGCGGCGGCGGCGGGTCGCAAGGAGGACAAGGAGGAGGAGGTGGAGGCGGTGCGTACCCGACGCCCCCGCCGCCCAACCCGTTCCTACCCTACTTCCCCTTCTACTACTACAGCCCGCCACCCCAGCTCAAGGGCTCGGCGCCGGCCGTCTCGTCGTCCGCCGCGGCGACGCTACTGCTGCTCGGGCTCTCCGGGCTGCTGCTGTGGTGAGGAGGACGACGGTGAGAACGCGAGGTAGATCTGCCGAGCTGACGCGCTCAGTGGATCCAATCAGCTGGCTGGCTGGCTGCATCTGCACTGCAGTAATTTCGATTTTATTTATTTATTCACCGCTGTAATTTTCTCTATTTTTTGCTCCTCCCTCCTCTCTGCTTCTGTGATTTATTGTGTGCCGGTATAGAACTATATAGGAGACCGTACCAAGTGTAAACCAAGGGCGACTAATAATAAAGCACCAGTGCTGTTTTATATAGATGGATCTGGTGATTAAGATGTTCATGCCAAAGGGAGGAAGCTGCTCATCTCTCTCTTTGATTGGTTGAGGCGTTGGCAAAACGAATGTGCATCATATGGATCCGATTACATGCAGAGGCCGGGGGTCATACTCCTTTAAAAAAAAATATGGATCCGATTACGATGTCATTGTTCTGCTGACATCTCTATCTCTCACCGTGCTATGCTGGCGACAGCCCTTGCGTGTGCTGGTTAAGGTTTGCGCTGTTGGATGGCAGTTCTTCAGTTCTTGGGCTGGATGTGCAGCGTAGCTTTAGAATAAGAATCTCCTGACATTGGTGAAGAAAAACTGTGAGCTGTGAATGTGAATGTGAATGATGTTTGAGATTAGTTTTTACCTTGTTCTTGCTGCAGAATACAGTTGTGCAATACTAGCATTGAACGTCATTAAAGGAAAAGAAAAAATAGTGACGATGGACTTGGTCAAACATGCATGGTGCTCCTGCTCCTGCAGTTGGGAACACCCTGAGTTGTTCAGAGTCTCTATCGCTCTCTGGTACGCAAACAAGAACCTGCCGCTACCGTGCAGGCTTTCAAAACTGAATCTTGTACAAACAAAACAACACTCGAGTTCAGAGTCTCTCTCGCGCTAACAAAGGCACAACATGATTCCGGTGAACATGTCATGGTTCCGATGACATCTCTCACCGTGATATGGTGGCGTTGGCCCGTATGTGTCGATCTTGTTTAACATGTACTGGTCCCTATGGCATCTCTTTCTTTTTTCTATATCAGAAATATATATTTCTCAGTTATTAAATTTCTAAAATATTTACAAAGAATTCATTTAATAATAACATAGTAAGTACTCCCTCCGTTCCTAAATATTTGTCTTTCTAGAGGTTTCAACAAGTGACTACATTCGGAGCAAAATAAGTGAATCTACACTCTAAAATATATCTATATACATCCCGTATGTGGTAACCATTTAGATCTCTAGAAAGACAAATATTTAGGAACGGAAGGAGTATATTGGAAAGTGGGAAAATGTTCATTTACCTGAAAACGATATATTAGAAGTATTGATTTCACATTCAAAAAGTATTCAAAAATGCTCATATATATTTGTATTATATTAGCTCTTATCCGCTCCATTCCTTTCAACCTTCCTTCATGTCGAACATTACCGAAGTCAGTAACTCCTTCTTTACCCTGTTATGGGAAGTGAGCCTAGCTCATCTGGTTGGGGAAGTTGGATGTATAAACCCAACACCCAGGTTTAAATCATCACGGAGGTGAATTTAGATTCCTATTTATTCTTGAGGACCAGATTTTTCTGGTACTCACGCATTTATTGAGGACTAGGCTTGGTGTGTAACCGAGACTAAAAATCCTACGACTCTATGCATCCCTAGTTGGTGCATAGGCCGGGGAAGTAAAATTCCCCCAATTTTAAGAGGCTTCGGTTTTATTCCGCCAGACTGGGTCGTAGGATCCCCATCGTGGACGTGAGTCATCTTCACCCCTCCCGATCTCCTCGGCTTCATCCTACACATCGATGGCGGCGGATCTCGGCGGTGTGGGATAGTGGAGACTCGGCATCCGATGGGTGGAGATGGACTCCCATAGGAGGACGATGTTGTCTGGCGTCGTGGTGGCGTGGCAGAGAGGCCTGGCAAGGTCAATGCATCAGTATCTGATGTGAGGATGGGTCGATGGATGAAGGAGGTGACGGCTGATGATCCACAAGTATAGGGGATCAATCGTAGTCCTTTTGATAAGTAAGAGTGTCGAACCCAATGAGGAGCAGAATGAAATGACAAGCGGTTTCCAGCAAGGTAATTTCTGCAAGCACTGAAATTATGTTAACAAGTTGTTTGTTAGAAAGATAATTTGTAACAAGTAATGGATAGCAATAGTAACAATTGGTGCTGAAAGGTAGCCCAATCCTTTTTTGGCAAAGGACAGTACGAAGCGATCTCTTATAATAAGCAAAGTGTTCTTGAGGACACACGGAAATTTCATCTAGTAACTTTCATCATGTTGGTTTGATTCAAGTTCGCTACTTTAAGAATTTGATATGTGGGTGGACCGGTGCTTGGGTGCTATTCTTACTTGAACAAGCCTCCCACTTATGATTAACCCCTCTCGCAAGCATCCGAAACTACGAAAGAAGAAATTAAGATAAAATCTAACCATAGCATTAAACATTTGGATCCAAATCAGCCCCTTACGGAATAGCGCATAAACTAGGGTTTAAGATTCTGTCACTCTGGCAACCCATCATCTAATAACTACTCCAGAATGCATTCCCTTAGAAATCACCACCTTCTGTGGAATTTCACTTATATGATGAGGTTAAGGAGATGTCACTATATGAGTTTTGTCGGGTCTGTAAGATACCCTTTGCGGGCAGCATAGAGGAACCACGTCATAATGATGTGGAGGGATTTATTGATATGACTGTTGTAGGGGAAACGAGAAAAGTTTCCGATGCAAGGATTACTAGCATACATTTTCTTGTTCTACGTTACTTTGCAATATTTGCTAGTAGATGCTTAATTGGTCATGGGAACAGTGGAAACCTTAGTGCCACTGATATTGTTATTTTGAGCTATGCCTTGTTTCGTGATACCACTTTCAGTTTAGGCGCTATTGTTACTAAACGGTTAAATCTGAACGTCACAAAGGGTCCCATCTTTGGAGGCATCTTTTCTTCGCGCCTTGCTGCACACTTTAACATACCTATTAGGCATTATGAGAAAGTGGAAAAGTTGCTGCCTCCTATTTTTCTAGATTATAAGAGTATGGTAGCACATGATTTTATTGTTAAGGATAAGAAGCACATGCTTAAGTATAGATTGATATTTGATAAAAACTACTATGAGATTATTACCTTGCCTGCTCCCTCTTTGTTTAACATATTTTCAGGCATGTACCTCGTGTTGCCAGAAGCGGTTCATGCATACTGGAGCCTGACATCAGCTCCAGAACCTGAGCCGGAGCCACCACTTGATCCTTACCGTCAGTCTGTTTATCAGTGGGACCCGGTGGAGATTGCCAACCAGTGGCACCCAGAGGACACTCCTCCATACACCAGAGAGGGCAGCTTTGAGCTGTGGCCATAGACCAACTTAAGCCAAAAGCCTAAGCTTGGGGGAGTACATATTCCTCACCGACATTACATTCATGCCAGTTGTCGGTGCTCATACTTTTTCATTGTACTATCTATGCTAGTTTATTTTCTTTTCCAGCATTCTACTTGTGTGTTTGAAAAACCTTAAGAAAAACCAAAAAAAATTAGTTGTAGCTTTTTAGCTAGTTTACTTTCCATGCATGTAGTAGTAGTAATTAAAAGAAGACCCAAAAAGATTTCTCGTTCTTCTTTTGCTTGTTGGGAGCTTTCCCGTGTAAATTGTTTTATTTCTTTTCTTTGGGGGTTGAGAGGAGAAGACCATGATGAAAATGTTGAGTGGCTCTCATATGCATTATTGTCTTCTCCCATATTACCTTGTCTTCTCCGATGTATTAAATTCTTGCAAATTTTGGCTCAGTCCAATGCACGTGCACTATTATTACTATCCACACCGTTCGGTCGTGCAAGTGAAAGGAAATAATGACGATATATGATGAACTGATTGAGATGAGGAAAGCTGGTATGAACTCGACCTATCCTGTTTTTGTAAATATGATTAGTTCATCGTTTCTGATTCAGCCTATTATGAATGAAACATGTTTGCAATGACAATTAGAGATTATAGATGCTCATGCCATGCTTAATTATCTAGGAGTTTATAATGGTTTACCTTGCGTGCCAACATGGTATTAAAATGGTTGTGATGTGGTATGATAGGGTGGTATCCTCCTTTGAACAATTCGAGTGGCTTGACTTGGCATATGTTCACGCATGTAGTTGAAACAAAATCAACAAAGCCTCAACGATATTTATGTTCACGGTGAATTATATCCTACTCATACTTGCATTCAGTGTTGATTAATTTTAATGCATGTTCATGACTTTTGTCGCTCTCTAGCTGGTCGCTTCCTAGTCTCTTTCTAGCCTTCACTTGTACTAAGTGGGAATACTACTTGTGCATCCACTTCCATAAACCCTAAAAGTTATTCCATATGAGTCCACCATACCTTCCTACATGCGGTATCTACCTGCCGTTCCAAGTAAATTTGTATGTGCCAAACTCTAAACCTTTAAATAAAATTATGTTTTGTATGCTCAAATAGCTCATGTATCAACTAGGGTTGTGTATATCTTCCATGCTAGGTGGGTTATTCTCAAGAGGAGTGGACTCTGCTCCTCATTCACGAGAAAATATGGCTGGTAACCGGGATGTCCAGTCCCATGCTTAAATTAAAATAATTGCAAACAAAACTCCCCCAGGATTGTTGTTAGTTGGAGGCACCCGTTGTTTCAGACAAGCCATGGATTGATGTTTGTTGGTGGTAGGGGGAGTATAAACTTTACCATTCTGTTTGGGAACCACCTATAATGTGTGTAGCATGGAAGATATCGAGATCACTTGGTTGTTATGTCTACAATGAAAGTATACCACTCAAAATATTATTCATCTCTATTTCAAAATCGAGCTCTGGCACCTCTACAAATCCCTGCTTCCCTCTGAGAAGGGCCTATCTATTTAATTTTATGTTGAGTCATCATCCTCTTATTAAAACACACTAGTTGGAGAGCACCGCTGTCATTTGCATGCATTACTATTAGTTTACATTGAGTATGACTGTGA